ATTGAAGAGATGCAGTTCCTGCAAAAGAAAATTTAAATCAAGAAGGAGAAGTGCGATTCCTCACAACTAAAAATGTTGAAAATCAAAATGAACCCTGAGAGATTTATCTTGCATTTAATAAATTATTTTTGGAAAAAAGATTAAAAATTTTATTTATAAATTTCACGTAATAAATTTGTTATTATTTATCACCTTCGTTAACCTTTTTTCGTTATAAGGTATTTATCTAAATACATACTTTAGTTTTAATAAGTACTTGCGCCTTATCATGATTTATACAACTGTAAAATCGTTTAAGTTAGTATTGTCCAAGTACTACAGCATTGTCCAACTTTTGGTTTTCAAGGTTGTCCAACTACTACGACAGTCAAGAATGATTGTCCAACTACTCCGATAAGTTGTCATGTTTTAAAATGTACCATAACTATTATTTAAGAGCTATTTTAAACATTTTTTGTGTGTTATAAAACCCGAAGGCATCCTAATTACAAGTTAATATTTAAAAAATATGGAAGTATTGCACATTAACTTCGGAATATGAGCGTTAAAATAAGTTTCGAAAAATCTGTCCAAGTATTGGTCGTTTTACCTTAGAGCATTTTGCCGTGGTATGCAGACATGCAGTTAATAGTAAGAAACAACAATGCCTCAGAAGGGGGGGTACCGGATATGACTTTCTCATATTAAAATCGTCCCCTAAATGATCAATAATACAAATAATGAAATATATATGGCAAATCGAAGTCGAATGTGCGTGTATGCACTTATAAGCAAGTTTATAAGCATGTAAAACGTAACTAGCCTTGTAAACAACGACAAATAATACGTGGTGCTATATACCTACTCGGCGGCAAATTTTAAATATGAATAAAAATTCAAACATCAAGAATGCTTCAATATCCTACTGTCTTAACCCTGAATTTCGTGTGCCTTAAATGTGAACACCTTAATTTTAGTTTCTGAATTAAAATCAATATTGAATATATCATTTACCAGCAGTAAATGCTATTGCTTTTTTAGTATACTTTTTTAGTTACTTAAAATAAATCGTGTAACACAGCTGTAACTGTATCAACATAATCTAATCGACCAGATAGGAAACTCTAATTATTTCCTGGAGTGCCCTGAAAAACAAGCTGTAAACCTAAGCCTCATGTAACTCAGCGATTTGGGTAGTTAATTATTATACATTATTAATCAATTTTATTAGTTGGAGTAAAATAAGAAATTATTTGATAAAAACGATTGTTTAAGTAACTTATACATCACTTCTGCGATTTGCGTATGTATTTTCGTAATAATTAATTTTTTATTGTTAGAAGTCCATGGGTATAAAATAATTGTATTTTGGAATGTTTGAATTTTGTCAATACATAAAAAAGACTTACCGATGAAAGCTAGTTGAATAAATGCCAAATTTATGATTTTTGATGTGTATGATTACTAAGTATTTTGTCTCAGAATTGTGTTGGAAGAAGCAATTGAATTTATGTAGTTTAAAGAAAAATTGCTAAGAATTATATGATAATGCAGTTTAACAAAAGAAAGAAAAAGAAATAAGCATATTAGATAAAAATCCTGAAACTCTATTTTTTCAGTAAATTTATGAACTTTTTTATAATAACTTTTGCACAGATTCATATTTTTAAAACATTTTCATGTAAGCAACTGTAAGTGTAGAGATTTAGTGGGACCATTGAAGATCACCATAGCTATGTTGTAGAGACTTCATTTCTGTCCAGTACTTTTTAACATGAGCGATATCTAATGTTATAAAGTTTTTTAAAATAAACATTTAAAAATGGTATTTTCCTGGAAAGTTATGATATCCCCTTGAAAATAGCTTTCAACAAAACTCAAATGTTAGGTAAGTTGGATGTGTTGAGTTCATATTTTTTAAAGAATTTCTGAACTTTCACACACACTGGCAATGAGTAGTATTCTTCCTAATGAATCTGTAGCCTTGAAAAGTTCTAAAATTAAAATTTAAGAATGGTAAAGTTTTGTTTATTCAGGTGCAATATACATTTTGTATGATATTCGTAGAATAATACCGTTTAGTACTCGTACTTTAACAAAATCAAACTAAGTAATATTTACTTCTGACTGGTACTTAATGCAAACCTCACATCAAATATATATTTATGGCTTGCTTGTTGAAAGTATATAAAAATGATAAGATAAAAGTCAATATTACTTTGTCTGATTTTGTTGAAGTACGATTACTAAACAGTATTATTCTACAAATGTCATACAAAATGTATGTTGCACCAAAAAAGAAAAAAAAAAAAACTTTACGAATTAATATGAGAACCATAATTAAAAAACATCTACCTTGATATCAAAACAGGTGGCAAATAAGTAGCTTTATTGATAGAGTAAATAATACAAGAAATTCTACTAAAATCAACGTCACAAAATGACACAAATTTATCACTAATCTTAGTCCGCGTGCCAGGATAGTTCCCGTAGCCTATGGCTCAACCAACGTTTTTTTATGCAGTTTTATCTCGTGAATTAGAAATTTGAGGGTGGAACCTCGTAAAACCATGTAGAAAAAAGTTGTTAACAATTTTTTAAACAAATTTTGAAATTACGATTGCAAAAAAATACAATTTTCCAATTTTTAGAGCGTTGGCAAAGTATGAAAGTGAAAAATTTTTACAAGTTACACCACATCACCATTAACTATCAACTTTCCTCTGTAATCTCAAAAAAAATTCCGATAAATTAAGTATAACAACATTTTTTTTGCAGTTATCATTTTGAACGTTTCCGTGCACACGCACGTATAAGAGTATAAGTACCTATATGAGTTTAGGACAAGTTAAGGGACATAGGTACATTCTAATACGTGGACGAAAACTGGAATGTTCAAAACTTTAACTGCAAAAAAGAATGTTGTTACTTATTTTATTGAAATTTTTTTTTTTTGGAGATTATAGAGGGAATTTAATAGTTAATAGTGATGTGATGTTCCTTGTGTAAAAGTTTTATTTTCCTACATTGCAAAAATCCTACGCAAACCCCTTTAGCGCTCGGACTATCCATACACACACTTTTCATGAAATAAAACACGCGCAAATCTTTAAACATGATATGTTTTGTACGGAGATGTTAATAGTTTAAGTAAATAATAAGTCTAATGTAAGCATATAGGTATAAAATAGAAGATGTATGAAGCATTTCATATTGATTGCTACGTTTTGATTGTGTGTTATTTGAGCAGGAAAGGTGGACCCAACGCCACACACATCTTCGTTCAACATGGGCTACCTTGTCTCACCATACCCCTACCCAAACGGAGCGGGAGGACCTATTCCAGTCTCTATGGTAAGTACATTACTGTAGCTACATACTAACTTTCAACAAAATATTCTGCCTTTTCGATGGACGTGTTTTATTCACTGATTTTGCAATTTAGTTAACTAGACAACTCAATGCATCTACTTTTCTTAGTATTTTGAATCTATTCTTTCTGTTCTCATCGAATTGTACTGTAACTTTATGCTCATGTGGTATATGTGAGCTAAAATCAAAATTTATTTTATGTCCTCGGGATCACGGCTTACTGAAAAAAATTGTCGTGACTCAGGCATTAACCTATAACAACATTTTTGGAAAAGAGACTGTTTTACGTTGACACAAGTATGTATTAAAAGTCTTCTATGCCACATTGAACCTTGAAATTTTATTAAAAATGGTCTAAACTTTTATTGGCCTTGAATAATGCACAACTGATCCTCATGTATTATGAATCATATATAACCTGATTCTAACCTAATATCTATTTTAAAACTTTTCATAAGATCTACCACGAATTATCTTATGCAAATGAGTTTTATTATATACGTAATCATAACAAAATACAATATAAACGTTAATTTGTTGCACTTCTCTGAAGATGGTAACTTGCAAAGTTCAGACCAGATCGTACGGGAAGGGGGAGGACTCCAGTTTTTATGCCTTTTTAGAAGTTACTCATCAGGCACGACCCACGTTACTAACTCCAATAATCGGGATGTTGTCATTTAAGTTTGCTTTACGTATTCAATGTATATTTTGCCTTTTTTTCCTAAATAACTTCTTAAGTTTATACGAAATAGTACATTACGATACTAGTGCGCGAGGAAGACGATTGATGCACGCGTGTCAGTTCGCGTGTGTCAATCACCTAACCTCTCGCAAGTGTGGTATATACAACTTTTCGACACATCGTGCGTAGGAAATGAGATTATTAACCATGTAATGTGACTCTGCAAAGATCTCGACGTACACAAGCGCTTGCACGAGTTATAAGTCGCGTGTGTAAATTGAGGTCTATAGAGCCACAAAAGATGGCTCATAATCGAGGTCCCCGCGCACGACGTGTCAAAAAAATAATTTACACTAATAAAAAGCAGTTTAAGTTTAGTAGTTACTTTTACTATATCAAAGCTCTGTAATTTCTTAACGGAATTATTCTGAAATTTTTTAAATCATTTTTTGTTTATGGATTGGAATGCAGCCCCAACCCACTAGATTCTATAAAAAACCATATGAAATGTAGCCCAGTGTTTCGTGCAGTATAACATTCATTATTATTCCATTAAAGAGTATGTACAATCCAGAATGGTAATTCTTTCTTGTCTGTAAACAAATTGAGGCCCCATTTGTAAATTTAGGTATATTATAAATTTATTATATATTGCACATTAACTTCGGAATATGAGCGTTAAAATAAGTTTCGAAAAATCTGTCCAAGTATTGGTCGTTTTACCTTAGAGCATTTTGCCATGGTATGCAGACATGCAGTTAATAGTAAGAAACAACGGTAAATGAAGACACCGCTGAATTCAGTGGGTTTTTATTTATTAGTTAAACTACATACGACCTCTCAACTCCTCCCGCTGGAACCCCCTTATTAAGAATACACACAAATCAAATAGTATCTGACTTCAGATAATTGTAACATGGCNTTCTTTAATATAAAAACATTTTTATTGGTACATCTTTAACGATTCAATAATAAATTTCTATATCATTAAGTGTCGCAACTTGGTTTTGAAATTCAACTTCTTCTAGTAGTCGCAAGAACTTACTTAAACTTTTTTAAATAAAGTAACGTAGTGCTTGTGTAATTCAGAAGTTCAATAACTTTCTTAATTTTATAACTTAGGCGTTAACATCAATAAGGTATAAAAGTTTTGTTGAAAAGTAAGATATGTAAGTATGTAAAAAGCTACGCTAATTTTTATATTTTAATAATAAATTAGTGGAAGGTGAAATTTTTGTGAACTGTTGTAAAATGTAAACGTTTAATAATAAAATTTTCAAAAATTTATGATCTAAAAGAAGCCGGGTACGCGAGTTTTTTTAAGTCTTGAGAAAAATCCGAAATACTTACATGGCACTATTAATTACAAAAATCTGATTACTTGATTTGTTTCAAAAAACATACTCAATGTAATAATAAGATATACATAGACTGTTACCTACTACGTTGACTGTGCTAAGAAAAGTGACTAACGACTGAGACAGACGAAGAAGAGCGTGGGTGCAGTGAGATAATACAAGACAATATAGCGCTGGGAAGCAGACAGTAAAATGTAAAAAAGCTCTTTTAAGTTGTGTAAGACGAACGTTTGTACTTCACACCTGTGTTAAGTATTACATAAAAAAAGGAAGAGTGAGGCAGAAATGAAAGAAGGCTCGGAATTCTCGTTAAGCAGGAATGAATAAATAGAAAAAGAGAAGGAATGGAAACGAAGGTGCGGTGCTCAAGGAGATGCTGAAAATTTGGTCAATGCAAGGTAAGAGGAGCGAGGGGAGAACGAAAGCCAGTTTTGAGAACAAATTAGACAGAATAAATCCGAGAGAGGGGCGTGGGGATAGAGGAGTGCTCCGAACTAACAAGATCTCGAAAGAGAGGCTATCGCGTAGCAGCAGCAGTGCACTGTTCCCGCATAACCACACACAACGCTTTCTGGGTCTGCGCGCCCGTTTTGGACAGCTCATCGTCGAGCATTCCCATTAATAGTCTCATTCAGAATATGTGCTCTGCTCACACAGTTTGGTTTAAGCTGTGATACGTTCATCGGGCACGTAACGCATTTCTTGAAAACTCATGATAGCGAGCTCACTTTCCAACATTATTCTTTCTATTTGTTTAATATACAATAGATAGGGGTAAGTGTACCTATCTCCGTGCTCTGCCCTATTACCGTGGATTTTGAAAAACTGATGATTACTTGCTCAAAATAAGAAATGTTTCATATAAAATAATTTTTCAATTTTAATAATCTAAAATGACGTTAATGTAGATGCAATTCAAACAGAAATATTTGTGTATATTTTGAGTAAATAATTATTTTCCACGGTATTTGGTACAAAGCGCTCATTAACTGATTGTGTACGTATTTCCGCGGAGAGCGTACGTAAACATAACCCTATACATCCGCGGTAATACGTGCACGGTAATAGGTACACAACCACGGTAATACCAGCATACCGTTTTTATTCGTTTTAAAAATATTCTACTGCAGTTTTAGCTTCATAAAATTTTTTTAAATATTCCGTAAGAGATTATGTAAGATTAAAAAAAAAAATATTCCAAAAAATTTTGGTTTACCATTTTTTATGGTGCATTTAAGTTGGAATTTTCAGTGTGTGCCACGGAGATTGGTACACTTACCCCTACTTTAAAGAAAAGCGTTGGAGTTAATTCATCTGTATCATGCTTCTCAAGGCACGTGTTAAGTTGCAATGTATCCAAAATTTATTGTAACAAATATGGTAAAAATTTAAAGTTTCCTGACACTCTAATTACTTATTGTCACAGGTTTCGCTACTTTCTCTGCATTTAAAAAAAATTGTTGAACCTCTTAAGGAGGTTGGATACATATCATCGACAATAGTTGGGGGCTCTAATTTAATTTTTGATTCATTCAATGTGTTACAAAAAACAATCGTACTTTTTTTGGATGATCTCAGCCATGTAGTTTGGATATGGATTATAAGAATAAAATAACCCATTATCAAGATATTTTAAATTAAAAAATGAATAATTTTACACGGGCTGTTATGGGAACAATGTTATGACCTAAAAGTAACATACCTCCGTAATAGTTAAAAAATCAACAAAAAATATATTTCGATACATTATATACTGCGGATTCATATGATCCTCTGATTTTTATCAGTATCCATACTAATTAAAGAGAAAATCATGATTTTTTAGAATAAAAATAAAAACTTTGGTTAGGTTGATAAGATGGATGCATGTATTTCATATAGTAATAAGCTGTATTACGTTCTGTCGGTAATGCTGTGAGCTTCCCACACCCTCAACCCCGCTTCGCCACCCTTCTGAAAGATTGAATCCATTCTTCTTATACGTAAAGTTGAAATTAAATGACTCATAAATTATTATACCGTAAAAAGTAAAAAGTCACGTTGATAAGGTCAACAACTATTAATTTGTAGTCAATAGTTAATATGGAAAAGTAGTATTGTAAGCCACTAGTGAGTTACATTGAAAAAAAATCTTGCTCTATACTAGGGTTTACTACATTTGCTTGCTTTTTTTGGCAACTTCTTTCCATTAAGTTGACATCAAGTGGCTTTGGACGTAATTTCTAATATGGTGCTAATGTTTGAAACATTATTTCGTTTTCGGATATTTTGAAACGAATGTCTACTTTTTGTGTATACGCTAAGTAAATATCGCCAACAGTAACAGTCAGCAAAATGCCTTAACAAGAGGTGGGGAAAAACAGAACAAGTGATAACCATGTAAAAAGAGCTATTTTTTTTTTAATTTTACGTGATTTTAGGATGTTAAAAGGGATATCAATGTTTGTCACAGTTAAATTAAGTATTCAAGTAGTGAAAACAAGTGTATTTTTACAATATAAGTAATCTAAAGTCTGAAATCACGTGAATTAATCTGAATCATTATTATCCAACTGAATGATCTAACATTTTTTTCCAACAAATTTCCAAACGATCAAGCTATTTTCAAACGTAAGCTAACTCAGCTTTGAGCTGAAATTTTCTTTGTGTTTCAGATAGGGTCAACATAGGGTCAAATGGTCAAAAAGGTTAACTGTGTCAGAGAACAGTTAAAAATAACTTGACGTGAGAAGTTAAACGTTAGGACGGTATAGAGAAAAGAGGAGCACTGCATGAGGTCAATGCGGATTATCTAGTCATCCCTATAATAACTTGAGAAATTAATTTAGAAATTCTAATTTTTTTTTTTCATATGATCTACTACATGTATACTTGTTACAAAAATAAATGAATTTTTCTGGAATAAAAAGTACAAATAAAATTTAAGTAATGAAATTGAG